CACAAAACTGTCTGGAAACCACAGCACTCACTGCTCTGTGAATGGGACTGTGGGCCCATTCAGGTGGCAGTCCCCACACCGGCTCCAGAAGCAGCAGTGGTCTAGAAGGCAGAGAGAAGACCTCAGGATGCTTTAAACCCCCCCAATAGGTCCCATCCAAGAAATGTGCACAGCCTGTTGGCCAAGGAAGGTCAGCGGGCTTTGCCCAGTGAGCTATCAGGCACTGGGAAGTAATTAAAACAAAAAACCCAAAACCATTGCCAGAGGAACTGCTGCAGGGCTGCACAGCAGATGAGCGTTTCACCTCACTATTGCAGGCTCCTCAGCCATGCCGCTGGTGGCAGAGGAAGCTCAACTCTAGGGAAATGCATTGAGGAGTGGCAGGAGTGCTTCCTTGACCAGCATCACTGCTCTCACAGTCACCAGCAAATGGACATTGCAGGACACCTCACTGGTCATGTACCAGGAGCACTGCTTAGAAGGGCTCAGGGTGCCTGCACATCACAGCACAGCTGCTGAGACAAGGCGGGGCACAAAATTACAAAATGAAATATATAAACCTTTAGAATCAGTTTTAAGTAATGTTAAGTTTGATGGCTTTGTAACAGTAGCAATAGAAAATTACTGAGGTGCATGATACACAGAAAAAAAAAAAAGCAGAGTAAAGCTAGAGAACATACTGAGAATTCTTGTACAAGATAAACCATTGCAGTTGGCATAGCTTTAGGCCCTATAACTTTAGTACAAAATGAATGTAAGAAAAACAGGCTAGAAGAACAGGATGCAAGGCTAAGGAGTATCTGGGAATGCCAGGTGTCCAGGATGGGCTGCAGTTAAACTAACTGGTAAGTAGAAGGACATGAGGATTCTTATGTCTGTGGTGCTAACAAACCGATTAAGCTGGTATAAGCATCTACTGCGTGTGCTTCAGAGGCTGCCAGAAGTGATGAAGATTGCTGGAAGAAGTAAACGACCCTCAGAGGCCACCACCACAATTCTGTACGCATGGGGGGAACTTCCTGGAAAATAATGTAATCCATATGTAGCCTCATGTATATGTATGTATGCCCAGAGACTATATAAGGACAGCTTGTGTAGCAATACGGGGACACGCGTTAGGAGGAGCTATCCCCCGTGTCTCCTGGCACCGCAATAAACAATACCTGCTTGTCAACTTGAAAACTTTGTTGGCAAGTTTGTTCCTGGAGTTTTCTCCAAATCCAGAGGGATCTGGACACATATGGGGAAGAAAAAGGGACAGATGAAAAGAGACAGAGTGACAGGGCACAGGGCATAGAAAATAAAATCGGGTGGCAGCAGGATGGAGATGAAGAGAGAAAGGTATTAGGAGCCCTCCTAATGGAGGATGGAGGATGAAAAAAAGGGGGCAGGGAACAGCAGGGAGGGACAGAGAGAATAAGAGATTAACACAAAGGAGGTCAGGGGCAATGAGATACAGAATAAATAAAAAACGGTGACAGGAAGCAAGATAGAGAGAGAAGGAGCAAGGGAGAGAGGTAGGAAGGCAGGGACACAGAGCAGAATGTACAGGCACAGAGAGGAAGAGAATGCCAGGGAACAGGCCAGAGAAACTGAAATTGGGGGCAGGGGGAGAAGGAAGAGGAAGAAAGATGCAGATAAAGACAAAGAGATGGAAAAAAAAAACAGCTATGGGCTCAGGACAAAGAAAGAGGATGGAAAAAAAAAGGCGGGAGGGGGTGGGAAGAGGGAGCAAGACACAAGGACAGGAGAAGTACAGGGGAGGAAAAAAATCATGGCAGCGTGGGAAAGACAGAGTCCCAGGGGATGGGCAGGGAGGGACCAGGACACAGAAGAGAGAGTGGGGCAACAGTACACCAGGGGCCTGCGACTCACCACAGCTCTGTGGCACTTCCGGTAGAAGTTGACAGTTCAGAAGCTTCTTTCTCCTCTTTGCCTCTTCTATAACTCTGGTCACTTGGATGTTCTTCACCTAGGAGAATACACAGATGTCTCAGCTCTTGCAAGATGAAGCTTTCTAGGCACATAGTCTCACTCACTTATACAGTACATAGCAGTACCACACTGCTGGTGACGCACACATGCACCCTGCCTCCCACAGACACACACCATCTTCTCTCATCACATACGCTCCAGGTTCTGCTACATGCCTACACAGTAGAGGAATTCTATACAGATGTAACCTATAAGCATCCCTCTATAGTCCCCCAAGGCTCTAGGGACAACAAAGTGCCCTGCAAGCATTCTCGAAAAGTGCCAAGCTATTCTGCACCCTGAGAAAGGCAACTCCTTATGTGCCAGCCACTTGCTCAGTATGCAAAGAAACTTCAGGTGCAAAAGTAGAGATCATGCTCATCCTGACCCCTACTATGTCCTGCAACAGAAGATGGTACCTTCCACATTATAGTTCCATAAATTATAATCTACATTTAACAAAACTGCAGCTGCAGACTTAGGAGCCACCTCCCCATCCCAGAACACCCCATTTAGAAGCCCAGACTGGTCTGGGTTGGAAGAGACCTTAAAGCTCATCCAGTTCCAACCCCTGCCACGGGCAGGGACACCTTCCACTACAGCAGGTTGCTCCAAGCTCATCCAACCTGACCTCAAATACTGCCAGGGATGGGGCAGCCATCACCTCACCACCTTCCCAGGGAAGAACTTCTGCCTAAGAGCTCATCTCAATCTCCCCTCTGGCAGGTTAAAGCCATTCCCCCTTGTCCTGTCACTGCAGGCCATTTCATTTCTTTTATAGGAGTTGTGTTAAGAGTATTTTGAACTATAGTGTCTGTAGGATAGATTACAGAAGGGATTAAGCCATCAAAATGAATAACAAGTCATCAGCCCATGCTGTTATTCCCTTCCACATTGATGGTATCCCTTCAAATGCTCAACTTAAGGATGAAATAGTAAGCGTAATAGCTGTGCTGCTCTCCTTGGTACCAGGGGACTGGATGATACCATACCTAAAATTTTTTTAAAAGGTTTCAGCTAGCTTCAGGCTTATAAATCCTGTGTCCATTCCAGGCATGCCAGTAGAAGCATACTAGTAGAATCTAGCTAGAAGAATTAGCAGGTACAAGAGTAAGTACTAAATTTAGATAAAACATCAGCAGAGTTTTTGTAAAGGAAATTCATGCCTGACAAATCCTTCAGAATTATTTGGAATAATCAATGAGCACATGGACACGAGAAACTCATCTTACGTATGTACTCTGTTTTGATTTCCAGAAACCACCCAGTATAGGGCCTCACAAAAGGCATGGGAGAACAGGAACAGTTCTCCCCAGAGAAGCAATTTATTAAAAGGCTGAAGGAACTGGAATAAATGGTCAGTTCATAGGCAAAAACTGACAGAAGACTCATGCATTGATTCCTGCTTAGCCCTAGAAACCACACCTATGGAGGATTTGAAAAAGTCAGGTGAACAGTTAGGTGGCAGAGATTTCTAAAATGATGTCCTTCGGTGTAATTAAAAATATGCCCCGACAGAGTTGTTGCAGCCAAAAATATTGTGGGAACAGACTGTAAGGCCGCAGATGATTTTCAGTGTGGATAATGCAGAAAAACCCCAAACAGGCACATGGGATGTGGATTATCATTCCGAACATCCTTGGCAGTGTTCAGGGCCAGGCTGGACAGAGCCTTGAGCGACATGGTCTAGTGTGAGGTGTCCCTGCCCATGGCAGGGAGGTTGGAACTGGATGATCTGAAGGTCCTTTCCAACCCTAACTATTCTGTGGTTCTGTATAATGGTCTCTGAGAAAACTGTTATGACCCAAAGAAGGTCCTGATAATTATTAGATTAATCATAGTTCAAAAATCATAGTTCAAAAGCCAGGTAGATGGTTTGGAAATACAGTTTAAAAAACAAACAAACAAAAAAATACAAACAAACATGGTGGGAGGGGGCGAAATTACAATTAATCCACATCATTCCTCCATCTTGAATATGGTGTACAGTGCAGGCCTCTACCTCTCAGAAATGAGAGAGCAGTAAGACAAAAGATATATAAAAAGGATACAAGATACAGATCACCTGCTGTACAAAATAGACTCGGCTACTTCAACCAGAAAGAGGGCAAACTGGGAAAGGAGTGAAAGAGTTTTGTGATATCACCCAGAAGTGGTATTATTCACCATCTTCTGTAATAGAAGTCTTAAGAGGTATCAAACAAAGTAACGAGTTTAAGCACACACACACCCCCTTCATGCACCACCTAGATATGCTAAAATTCATTTTTTCATCATACTGTGAATGCTAGAACTTTGTATAGCTTAAAAAAAAAATCACCTGGACAAAGTACAATGAAATGTGCAAAGACACGGGCTTTAGGTCATGAAATTTGTCAGCCACAGGTTACAATCACCAGAGCAATACTCCACTTTTATCCTGGACAATGGATGAGAAACTGATCTTCATTCAATTCAGTATGCCAGTTTCTTTAACAAATGTCATCAATGTTTCCTTTATTAACCACTGTATTTTAAGGTAGATGTATTAAAAAAAAAAAAAAAAAGAAAGAAAAGGATACTAAAAAAAATAGTAACATGATGCATTCACTTTATGACCCCAGAGATCTCTGGCGTAGTACAACCACACTTGACACCTCTGATGGTGCTGGCCTGGTTTTGTTCACAAAAGGCCCTACTCCTTAAGGAAAAACCTGAGATGTGGGGACAGCTTCTGCCACAGCTAGTGCTTCATAGCTGTTGTCTTTTGATTGCATTGGGGTTTCTCACAATTCTCAAGCTTATTTACACAAAGAGAAGTTAAGAATCATGTCCAAGACCTTTGATCACAAGTATCTTCAGGTCAAAATACTGCTGTTGTACATTTCCTTCAACTTTTGTGTCAGATTTATAACTATATGTAAAAGTATTTCTACAGCCAGTTCACCAGTTAATTAGGAAGAAACCTTTTAAACAGTTTTCTAAGAATCACTGTTGACATTTTGTGCTAGGAAATTTGTAATAGGATTTAGTTATTGAATCTATCCCTTCATTTCCTTACACTTGAGTGTTCTTTCAGGTATTCCAAAGATAAACTTCAATAAAACTATTACAAGTGGTAAAATTAAACTCATTCACTCCAGAGCATTCACTTTCCGGGACTTCATCACAGTTCTGTACTGATGTTTTAAGCCCCACCAAGGTACGTTTACAGTACTTTGAGGGTTCCTCAAGGCTGCTGTGACTAGAATTGCTGCATATGCAGACACACCTGGAAGCACTGTTCCACTTCATACTCACAGCCCACAGCATTCCCCACACTGGAATGCACCAGGCAGCTCAGTGACTTCTTACACAGCTAGTCACATTCATGCAGACAACCCGAGGACTACCCCACCTGCGCAAAGGAATGCAGTAGTTGGCATAAACACATTTTAGATATTCATTATGTAACATGCTTTCAAGAGCTTCCAAAGCCAAACCCAACTAAAGTTGTCAGACTGAAGAGTAGCCACTGCTACACTACAAGAACAAGTAATGTTCTGTTTGCTTAAGTTTAAACTGCATCTTTGCAAAAGGCTGAAGGTGTTCACCACCTTTTAAAGATCTAATCAAACTTTTTATCCCTGTGCCTCCAATTCTGATTTTAGCAAATTTATTTGCAATCAATAGTTTTATTGTTACAGGGGAAGCCCATTATCACAGTAGTCAGGGTAACAGAATTCAGGTTATATTACTTAGGTCAACTTTGCAGAGGACACTGGATAGCAGAACTTTTAGCTATTGACATTTTTTCTGGTAGTGTCATTGTGCATCATTTGCATTTGGAGATATAAAATAGTAGTATGAAAAGCTTACAAAACAAAAACATAAGTCTATATGCTTATTAAATAATAATAATAAAGTCCAAGAAGCATGCTTTAATAATGCTTTGTGTAGTTAAGAAAGTGAAATATCATGTTGAAAATACTTCTGTGTAACCATCCATCATTTTCATTATGGTAGTGCCAAAGAATGATCAGAAATTGAAGCCTGCAAAGTGCTAGACACCTTGTATAAGCATCAGCCTCTGTTATTTAAGAGGAGAGAGTTTCATTAATCAAGTCAAGACCATAAATCATTAAAGTCTATCAGTCAAGGTTGGATCTTTTAAAACAAAATCGCTTTGATTAAAGCAGAACAACTTAACTATTTTAAAGTTCTTGTTCTTTGGCTATAGCTCATATTTCATCCTAGAGTCTTAATATACTTTAAAACATTTAAGCTTCCTTCTAGATCTAACTGCTACTACTTATTAGGACTACATTCAGATAATGCACACAGGTAAAAATCTGGAATGCTTAGCTCAAGAGTCACATAGTCAAACCCTCTTCATACATATATTATCTCCATGCATAAATCCCAAGAATCCTGTGGGCCACAAATAAAGAAAATTTGAAAGGCACAGATATTTGCACAAAAAAGTCAGCAAATTCTCTAGCCTTAGTTAAGAGTCTGCTTTAGGAGACATTTTTCAAGAGCCAGCCTTCAACCACTCAGTTAAACTCAACAATGCGGAGGATGTACTTGGGGCCAGTTCTTCTAAGGACATATACTGCAGCTCCGATCACTTTCACTTCCCAGCTGCCATTTCAGAGTCTACAAAGTTATTTTTTCTTGGGATTACTTGAGGTCTTGCTCAAATGCACAAAATCAGTCCCTGTGGTCCAGACGTATACCAGTAAAAGCCCCAGAGGAAAGAAAGGCCCATGATCACATAGCTCTTTGCTTCAAAATCTATGGCCCTCTGTTCTTCTTGTTAAGTCTCGTCTTCAGTCAGCCAGGGCCCACGACTTACTTGAAATTCACAGTCGCAAGAGAAATAGGTTTAACAGCTGCATTTCGCTAGTTTTATATGGATTCTCTAATGGCATTTCCAAAACACAACAGGACACAGTGCAACACAGCATACGACAGCGACACAGATCCCTTGAAGTATGCCTGAGATAATTTTTATCTTATTTCTGAAGTGAAAGAAAAATTAGGATTTTTTTTTTTTTTCCTAGTGTAATTGAAGCACAAACCAGACACCACGGCAAGGGCTGCCAGTGCTTCCCTACGTAAGCAGCAGCTTATGGAAAGGCTCCACAGAGGAAAAGTCTGGGTGGACAAAGTCATTGATTTCTTTAGCACTCCCGCGGTTAAGCTCCGTCCTACCTATTTCGTAGGCGTGTAGACACAGCGGCTCAATCTCTACTAAAGAAACCGCAGCCAGCAGCGAGAAAGCGCTGGAGGCCGGCCGGGCTGCCCTCCGCGGTCCTCGGGCGCTCCGGCTCTCACACGGCAGAGACCGGCCCCGGCTGCCCGGCCCCGGCTGCCCCGCCCGGCCCCGCGCACAGGCCTCCGGGAACCGCCGAGGCACCCAAGGGAGGGGAGACGGCGGTCTCCGTGGCACAACCTCGGCACCGCATCAGCAGGAAACGCCTTTTTTGGGCCTCGGAAGTGCTATAAAAGGCGCGGAGGAAACACCAAATATGGTCGGCACAATTCCGGCCGCCGCGGGAGCGGCGTTTCCGCTCGGCCTTGTCCGTCTCGCGGCCGCGCCACGGAACCCCTCCCGCTAGCGCGCTCCCGACGCTGACGCGGTGACGAGAGGGCTCGCGAGAGCAGCGGGGCTGCCGCGAGCGGGCGGGGGCGATTCCGGGCGGGAAATGGTTCCCGGCGGAAGCCCGGCCCGGCCCGGCCCGGGCAGGTGGATTTGCTGCCTGCGGCTGGAGCAGCTGGGGACCTGCGCTTCCTCCTCCCCAGCGCCCTTTCTGCGGGGCTTCGAGCCCGTACTTGCACAAGGCGAGGGGTTTCCTCGGCCCGTGGCAACACCTGCTGTTTCCCTGGAAGCAGCCTCCTCGAGACCAGCTTCCCCTCCCAGTTAGACTAGGACCAAACATTTTAGAAATAAGGGATCCTTTCTTTTTCAGAGTAACAGCAAGAGAAAAGGCCTTGCAGAAAATATACAGTGTTTTCTGAACCATGAAATCTTTCATTTTATGGGATGAAGGTCATGAAAAAAAAGTGGGAGCGAAAACCCCCATGCATTTTCTTTAGTTTATGTTAGGGACATCAAATGCAAAGCATAACTCATTGCAACCAAATGCCAACGCTTAAATTATGAGTGCTTTCTAGGAAGTTACACCAAAGCGTATCTGTCTTAAAGTGGCCCTGGTAGGCATATCAACAGTTTTAACAATGGTATCCACCCCACCCCCACCCCCCCATGGATGGTTTTTTAGCAAAGAATGGCCACATTCCCAAGTCAGGAAGTGCCTATGTGGAGCTCGACGTGAACCGAGGATGAAGGAGGATGCGGGTAAAGAAGCAAAAGTAGCAGTAGCAAAAGTAGCAGTGCAAGCAAGATAAGAAGAAACTGGACTGTGCTAAGATACAAAATAGTGGACTGTTAACAAATTTTAACGGTTAAGTTCTTATACGCTTATTGTTACTAGTTGCTGTGTCCTGCAGGAATATGTACCAAAGCATAGTATACTGAGCTATTGTATATGTATTCAATCATCATACAACAAGCTATTGAACATGTATCTAATTATACTACAGCGAGCTATTGTAAATGTAACTGCAGTTGTGGTGTATTACAAGAAAATATATCCAATTCTAATACAGCAAGCTATTGTAAGCCGAGGCAGAGAAACAGTATAAAAAGGATTGATACTCTATAATAAATGGCTTTGGTCTGATCATATTGATCTCTGACTGAGTCCATAATTTTTCTGCAGCACCCCCACCCCACCCCCTCCCCAAACTAGAGGTACCAGGGTATGGGGAGCTTCCTGCAGTGAGATGCAATTCAGATTCCCCAGCTGATGGGAAGTGTCATTTGGCAGGTTGCAGGCCATCACAGACAGGCTACAGTGCACAAGCGCTGAGCCCTTCCCTCAGAGCACAGCTGGTTTGCACTACTCAGCTGTCTAGCTTTTTGAGTCACAGTTAACATGGGGCCAACAATAACCCTACATTTCTGGAGGCCTCCACAAGTTGAGAGGATTTACCATCACATAGTGGAGAAAGCATGGAGCAAGTAGGACCAGCATTTCTTTGAGTCAGAGAAGCTTCACAGATCATGTCACCTCCTTTGCACTGCTGCCTTGATATCCACAGGCCAGTCTTGAGGGCAGAGATGCCTAGCCAGACGTCAGAGACATGCCCTGCTGCTAGAAAGGGTGCTCTGGCCTTCATTCCTTACAGCCCTTCAACACTGCCTGACTTGGTCCGCTTTGTACACATGCATCAGAGAACACCTATCTTCTATCTTCTTTGCAGCTTCTCTAAGTGTGGTAGTTACCATCACTGCTAATTTCTGTACGAAGTGCTCTGGAGAACCTGAGTCACCTTCAGGCATTGCTTGAGAGGCCACTTGGTCAGTTTTTAGCACAACCACAATTCCAGAAGGCTAGACCAGGAGTCAGCAGAGACTAGCTTGAAAAGAAGCAACATCTACAGCTTCCTGAGGAGGAGAAATGGAGAGGAGGGGGAGCTGATCTCTTCTCCCTGGTATCCAGTGACAGGACACATGGGAATGGTTCAGAGCTGCATCAGTGGATGCTCAGGCTTGAAATTAAGAAATGTTCTTTACTGACAGGGTGGTCAAACGCAATAGGCTTCCTAGAGAGTTGGTCAACACCACATGCCTGTCAGTGTTTGAGATATCTGTACAATGTCCTTAATAGTATGCTTTAACTTTTGATCAGTCCTGAAGTTGTCAGGCAGTTGGATTAGATGAGCATTGTAGGCCCTAGGTCCCATCCAACTGAACTATTCTAGTCTGGTCTAGTCTAGTCTGTATGTTCTGTTCTATTATAAACATCCAAACAGAGCAGTGCCCACAGATCAGAATGGGCTTGGGCTGTCTAAAATTGCTTATTTTGCTGTTGGCTTTGAGAACCAGAGGTAAGGGGGGGGGAAAAAAAAAAAAAAAAGGTTAGCTTTACATAATGTTATTTGCTTCTTTCTTTGAAGCATCACACTTGAAGGACCTTCTTCAGTGTCTTGTCTCCCATAAGTGGATTTCTGTGGCTTATGACGTGGCTCAGACAGTGTGAAGCCACGTATTTGGCTTGCCCAGTCAGTCTGCCTTGGCCAGAGGCTGAAGCCCTTGGGATGAAAAGATCTACTGCTTTCCTCTGAAACAGCCCAGCAGGGCCAGGGCCAAGTCACTGCGAGTAGCTTGTGGACTACTCAGCACTGCAGGCACAAACCAGCACAGAGACAAAGCAGCACAAGCTTTTCCCCACAGCTTGTTGCAGCCCACTGAGGACAGTCCTACCTGAGAGACAGCAGACTGGGATTTACCAACAGTTTCACTCTTGGGTATCTTCCAGAATCGCTGCCATTTGCCAGGGTTGGGCTGCATCCCCAAGAAGAGGGTCTAGCCCACAGACTTTTGCAGGTTGCCCTTCCTAGTGAGTGGGGTTGATTTTGGCAAGCAATAGGGGATACTGTGTCTGACAGAGACTGCTTGCTAGTTTCACTGTGCCAGGTGCTCACAAGTATGTATCTGCATCTCAGCTCCTCACAACTCTAAACATTAGTGATTTGTAGAGAGCCCACCTGAAAGGACTGACACCAGAACCCTCCTCTGTACCTGCACTACCATTTCTCGTAGATGCAAACTCCTCTGAATTCGATCTGCAGAGGGGTCACATGCCTCCTGAAATGTATTTCAAGCCACTACATAAGGAACGGCATTCCTCTAAATGCTGAAACATCTGTATTCAAGGCAATCAGGCCCACGCACTTATATACCCTATGTTGTCTCAAGGAGGAAGTTACGATAGTCCTCAGCTGAGTAGGGCTACTTTCTATCAACCAGCCACTTGGACTGAGCTTATTGTATTTCCAGCCTAGAAACTGCTCTATTATCTTGCCATCCAGTAAGATTTCTGACTACCTATGAACACACAGTTGAGATTCTAATTTTCAAACCTCATTTTCAGCACTGGGAGAATTGTTTTTCTTCCTAAGATTAGCTCACATGCTTCTTGAGAAGCCAGAAAACAGGAATCGTGCCCACTTCAAAAGAGCAGGCAGTGCACCTAATGCAAGGACATCTGTGCTCCATCCATGTCTTTGTAAGCAACAGGACGTAGAGTGATTGGTCTCCCCTCCTTTCTTTATGTAGGTATTTCCCCATGAGACAAGCAGCACTTGTTACTTCTCAGCTACTCAAGGAGTCAGGGCTGCTGCATCACAGTCCTCCTATGTAGCAACTTAAAAGAAAATGTGTAAGTCCACACAATTTTATATTTTATTTTATTTTTATTTTTTTCTGAAGGGTATTGTACACCAAATATCCCATTGGCAAGAAAGCGCATTCAATGTGTTTAGAAGCCAAACAATCACTTTCATTTTAACAAACACAATTACAAAGTAAAAATAAACCACAAAATAATGAACTGCATGTTCATAACATACAAAAAATGCTGCCTACTCAGTAGGTAACTACAACATTCCAACTCCTGAATATATATATATATAAATTTACATTTTTTGTAGCAAAAATAGACTTTGAGAGGTGTGGGGTGGTTTTTTTGCTTACATTCTGACCCCAGGGCTTTCTGGTGCTCCCCTCCCCACCCATTCCCTGCTCTTACATTCTTTGAGTAACATACCTTTCACTTTAAGGCAAGATGCAAAGCATCCATTCACACAAATGCATGATGTCAGCAAGGCTTCACAAAAAGGCACCAAGACATGTAATTTTAAAACCAAAACTACTGCAACATGTGAGTGTCTCATTGGGAGATATTTACATAGCATCACTCTAACATGCTCAAATACAGTAAGTGCTGTTCCCAAAGAAGTTTGAAACTTGTTACAGCATTGCCACTGAAATAGAATTAACATTTACAAAATATGGCCCTGTGAACTCCAAATAATATATTATGGATAAGCAGATTTTTCACATCAATAGTACCTAAAGGAAAGCAAACCAGGGCACATGTACAATTTACAACAGCTACATACTTAATTGAGTCCTTTCTTCCTAATAAAAGACTATTGTTTACAGGGAAAATGATACTGAACTTATATCCACAGTCCATGCAAATTAAGTCATTCAACAGAGGTGGAAAACTTAAAACGGCTGTTGTTTCAGGCAGCTGAAATTTAAAAAAAAAAAATTAAATAGCCTTGCAATGTGTGGTGTTGAGGGAGTAGTTGGAGACTTCATGTCTGATAATACCAGTGGAAAAGGTGAATT